AAAAAATTTTTTTAAAAACCCCCAGCCGTTATTTTGAAATAACTTTACTAGCATCTAAACTGCCAAATCACTATTTTGAATTTGGTAAACCTCATTCCACGAGGAATAACGCCAAATTTGAAATAGCTATTTCGAATTAAGTGCTGTGTAGACACTTATTTCGAAATAGGGGGCCTCCAGCCTTCCCAGGGTGCCCTGGTGGCCAGGACGTTGTTAAGGGCCCAAAAGCAAACAATTCCGCTGTGTAGGAAAGATAGAAAATATGGCAAAAGACCAGCTTGGCTTAACAAGGAGATCTTGCATGATCTCAAAATAAAAAAGGAGTCATATAAAAAATGGAAACTAGGACAACTAACAAAGGATGAATATAGGCAAGCAACACGGGAATGCAGGGGCAAGATTAGAAAGGCAAAGGCACAAAATGAGATCAAACTAGCTACAGGCATAAAGGGAAACAAGAAGACCTTTTATAAATACATTAAAAGCAAGAGGAAGACCAAGGACAGGGTAGGCCCACTGCTTAGTGAGGAGGGAGAAGCAGTAACAGGGAACTTGGAAATGGCGGAGATGCTCAATGACTTCTTTGTTTCGGTCTTCACCGAGAAGTCTGGAGGTGTGCCTAACGTAGTGAATACAAGCAGAGAGAGGGTAAGTTTAGAAGATAGGATACACAAAGAACAAGTTAAAAATCACTTAGGAAAGTTAGATGTCAGCAAGTCACCAGGTCCTGATGAAATGCATCCCAGGATACTCAAGGAGCTGATAGAGGAGGTATCTGAGCCTTTAGCTATGATCTTTGAAAAATCATGGCAGACAGGGGAGATTCCAGAAGACTGGAAAAGGGCAAATATTGTGCCCATCTATAAAAAGGGGAATAAGAACAACCCAGGAAATTATAGACCGGTCAGTTTAACGTCTGTCCCAGGGAAGATAATGGAGCAGGTAATTAAGGAAATCATATGCAAACACTTGGAAGGTAATAAAGTGATAGGGAATAGCCAGCATGGGTTTGTGAAGAACAAGTCATGCCAAACTAATCTGATAGCTTTCTTTGATAGGATAACGAGCCTTGTGGATAAGGGAGAAGCGGTGGATGTCATATACCTAGACTTTAGTAAGGCATTTGATATGGTCTCGCATGATATTCTTATTGATAAACTAGGCAAATATAACTTAGATAGGGCCACGATAAGGTGGGTGCATAATTGGCTGGATAACCGTAGTCAGAGAGTTGTTGTTAACGGTTCTAAATCCTGCTGGAAAGGGATAACAAGTGGAGTTCCTCAAGGGTCTGTTTTGGGACCCGTACTGTTCAATATCTTCATCAATGATGTAGATATTGGGATAGAGAGTACGCTTATTAAGTTTGCAGATGATACCAAACTGGGTGGGGTTGCAACTTCTTTGGAGGATAGGGACATAATTCAAAATGACCTTAGCAAGTTAGAGAAATGGTCAGAGGTAAACAGGATGAGGTTTAATAAGGAGAAATGCAGAGTGCTCCACTTAGGAAGGAACAATCAGTTCCATACATACAAGATGGGAAGCGACTGTCTAGGAAGGAGCATGGCGGAAAGGGATCTAGGGGTCATAGTGGACCACAAGTTGAATATGAGTCAACAGTGTGATGCTGTTGCCAAAAAAGCAAATATGATTCTAGGTTGTATCAACAGGTGTGTTGTAAGCAAAACTCGTGAAGTCATTCTGCCGCTCTACTCTGCACTAGTTAGGCCTCAGCTGGAGTACTGTGTCCAGTTCTGGGTGCCACATTTCAAGAAAGATGTGGAGAAATTGGAAAGGGTACAGAGAAGAGTGACAAGAATGATTAAAGGTTTAGAGAACATGACCTATGAAGCCAGGCTTCATGAACTGGGCTTGTTTAGTTTGGAAAAAAGAAGATTAAGGGGGGACATGATAGCGGTTTTCAAATATCTAAAAGGGTGTCACAAGGAGGAAGGAGAAAAATTGTTCCTCTTGGTTTCTGAGGACAGGACAAGGAGTAATGGGCTTAAAGTGCAGCAGGGGAGGTTTAGATTGGACATTAGGAAAAAATTCCTAACTGTCAGGGTGGTCAAATATTGGAATAAATTGCCAAGGGAGGTGGTGGAATCTCCCTCTCTGGAGCTATTTAAGAACAGGTTAGATAGACATCTGTCAGGGATGGTGTAGACGGAGCTTGATCCTGCCTTGAGGGCGGGGGGCTGGACACGATGACCTCTCGAGGTCCCTTCCAGTCCTATTATTCTCTTCCCCTTGCTTCCCCCTTCCAGCTCCCTCCTCCCAGGTTTCCCCCTCCTGTCTCCCACCCTCTCTTCTCTCCTCTCCCGCCTCCTTTTCCCAGACTCACTAGAGTTTCATCCCCCGCCCCAGTTTTGTTAAATAAAAAGAGTTTGTGTCAAATAAAATACACGTGTTTTCAGGAACATCAGGAAGGGGGGCTAGGGAGGGGTAAGTGGAAGGACGTGAGGGAGGAATGAAGCACAAGCCCCCATCGGGGCAGACCAGGGAGGCTGTTAATGCTCCTCAAGAGCCTCCTAGGTACTGACAGCCCCCTGATGGACTTCCCGGATGGCAGCCTGCAGAAAATTTAGCCAGGCTCACACCAACAAGTCCACAAGAAGCACCAGAGTACCATGGGGCAGCTCTGGCTCCATGTTGTAGAGTGCTGTGGTGTCCCACGTGAGGGCAACCAGAGCATGCGGAGACAGAATGCTTTGCTGTTCCTCATCGAGGTTGGCAAGGAAGCAGGGAAAGCTGAGAACCGGCTGTCCGGAGGGGTGGGTGGGAAGAGGGAGAGGAAACCCTTTAAGCACAGGCCTCTCCTAACCTGATGCCCTGCCGGGCCTGGTTCTGGCCAGCCTTAAATGTGATTCAGCATCCACTCAGTGTGGACCCGCTATCTTGAAATAGGAAAATGCTATTTCGAAATGCATTTTGTGTATAGACGTGTTATTTCAAAATAAGATATTTCAAAATAATGCTGTAGTTTAGACATACCCTCAGAGAGAGGCAGCAAGGTTGGGGGAGCAGGAGCTACTGCTGTGCGGAGATGGCTTAAAAAACAGTTTCCTTCAGCACTGTCTCTGTGGAGGGCGGGGAGGTAAAGGCACAGTGGGAAACTGTGTGAACCGGAACTGAAGCAGTCTCCGCTCGTGCCACTTCTGCTGTGAGTCTGCTTTCGAAATGTACATTTCAAAGGTTCGCGTGCCGCAGGTAGCGCAGGGCCAGAGGGAGAGTTGGGGTCGTTCTACACTCCCTGCAGGGCTTCCTTTTGAAATGTACATTTCAAAAGCAGAATTGCAGTGGGGCTCTTGTACATTTCAAAAGCAGAATCGCAGCAGAAGCGGTGTGAGCGGAGACACCCTTACAGACTAATAGAATAGTCAATTTGTCAATTAATCTAAATGTAACATCCCTACTCTCAAAGGAACACAATACAGCATAATGGGCATTGCTACGATCACATCTACATTAAGTGTTGTACCAATAAAAGCAAGCAGGATCTTATGAGGGGGATAAGGCAAAAAGCCACATTTATTGTAAAGATAATAATAAAGAATAAAGAAAAGATAGAAGCAAACAACATTGTTTAGCTACTTATTCCTATCACTACTTAACCCTTATACACACATATACACACACACATATATACACACCATATATATATAAACATTCATTCAATCATTCATCCATTCTTTCAGGTTCTGTGTATTTGTTATAGTTACCAGCCTGGAAGTTGCTTATGACAGAATATTCTGTACACAAATGATGGTAGTGGGGAGCGAAGTCCTGATCAGATGTGCAGGTCCACTGAGTCTATAGCATTGCTATTTGCTGCCTGAGAAGCACAAGCATCTCCTGTTGCATGTCCCTCTCCTTTTTCTGTGTTTTTCTCCTCTCCATTCTGTCCTTATCCATGCTGTCTGCAAGGGTGGAGGGAAGGGTTCCTCCACACCCTGGGATCATTTTCTCATGCAGCAACAGCTTGGAATATCACCTGAAACATGTCATTCTGAATCCTCTTCTTTCTTTTCCTTGCTTGGTTCAGGCATTCCACAGATGTACGGGGGGGAACCTTCAAGACCACAATACTAGCAGCTGAGGATACAACACATTAAAGTACTGTTCTCAGTATATTTCTGATAGAAATAAAAATGTAGGCTACTGAACTGTCTCCCTTTCATCCATACAGGATGAAAAAACTACACTGAGATTTCTGTTTGGGACTGATACAGTACCATGCCACTCAGAGCACCAGCTATGGTAAGCATGGTGTGGAGTTGAGAGAGGCTGAGGGATACTTAGGGATAACTCATAGGCATGAGTATATGTGAATTGAATACTGGCAATGTTTTTCACAGTGATGGTGATTTTAGCTAATATTTCATTCCTGAGGGTAGCACACACAGACAGCAGATTTGCTGCTGGCAGCTCAATCATGCCCATGTCTGTACGTGGCTAGCCTTTATACTGCAATTTGTGCCAGATGAAGTAATTGCTGAATTGTGTGGGGAAATGTTCCCCCCCAGAAGAAGAAATAAGGCAGTCCTCACCAGTAACCTTTGGCAGAGGATTGCAAAGAACCCCATACAAGTTCCATTGAGATTTCTACAGAAGATTCAGAAGACATGCCAGTGCACATATACTGCTCTGTGTGGCCCCTTCACAGGAAAAGCAAATAGCAGAGTATCCATGAGGCTTTTGGGATCTCTGACTAGAATGGCATGCAGGAAAAGTATCAGGTATATAGCTCCACATCAAATACATTATTTGTCTTTGTCGTCTGTTCTCCCTGCCACAGCTCCTTTGCTTTCATATGGCCCTACCACTGATCCCTGATACAGTTCTTCTCCTACATTCCCCAAACAACCTGCTCTTGGATGCCTACGCTTCTAGGGCTGGACTGAAGCTGTGCCTGCATAGTCTCTACTCCCCACATACCCAAAAAATCCAATGTCTTCTGTGTGTTCCAGGCAGGAACTCATCTGTATCATATATCTGGTGATTGCATGCAGTGGTACAGACTTTCTAGGTATCCAGCCTGGAAAAGCAATTTCAAAAATGTTGTGGGGTTTTATAGGGGAGAATGAACTTCCTGTCCATCTGAGCCATAGGCAGTTGAGTTTATTACAGTGACGAGATCAATCAGAGTAGGGTACTGTGGGATGACTCCTGAAAGCTGTAACAGTCAATGTAAGTAATATAGTTTGTCCAATGACACTTTGTCGACCTTAGTACATCAACCTAGACTCTATGCTACTTCACGAATTGGTGTTATTGGGTCAGCATAGTGGAGCAGTTATGTTGACAAGTCAATGTAAACTCCCTTGTATGAATTTAAGCATGCAGTTTAGATCAGGTATTTGTATATATTTTTGTCTATTTAATTAACTAACTATATATATTGGTCCACTAAAATAAGAAATAGTTCATTTAGTGACATCATTTCTGCTTTAATTTACAGCATTTTTTGGCTACACTAACCTTATCAGAGAAACTTGCAAGCCATAGCTTTCTTGCCCCCTCCCTTTTTATCTTCAGTGCAATGGTAGGGGGAATTACTTAAAAAAAAAAAAAAACCCTACCCTCTCTTCTTTCTAAATTAGAGATACCCTTTCAAACTGCTTCCCTTTTCACAGTAAAAAAGTCTGACTACTGGCAGTCCCAAAGGGAAAGCAGCCAGAAGGTAAATATGTTGTTGTTTGTGCCCCCTTTAACTTCATCTCATCCCCTGCAGTGATTCACTCATTTAATTTTCAGAAAGCTCAAAGAAATTGTGTTGATGAAATCTGAATTTGCTTTTGGCAAAGAAAAAAGAGAAATGGAGGAACAGGAGGAAAATTGTTTTTTCTACCTATCTACAAAACTGTCAGCAAGGCAACATTTACCACATTTGCTTTGTGTGAACCTTTTTGCATACTAATAGGCACAGGCATGATTTACTTGTGTGCACTTGGGGCTATTCACAGATGTAGTAATCCTCCCCCACTTCTCTGAATAAAAAAGTTGCATGAAAGGCTTTGCAATGTGAGTTGAAGCCTACCACTACTGAAATTCATTTACATAGGTTTCCTTAAATCATTTGTATTGCATTTTACTCTAAAGATCCTGAGCATGAAGTCCACAAGAAACAATCCAATAGCACTCTACAAATATTCCCTATTAAATTACTGAGCTAGATGGGGTGTTCAACTTCTTACGTTCTCAGGTAAATGTGAGAATGAGAGCCTAAGGCAATGTGAATACAGGCTCTTCAAACTTCAAAGGAGCTGTGAATGGTTTTTGCCTGGCTTTTGCCATCCAGAACTGGCCTATGCTAGGGGAGCAATTAAAATTAAATGGCCACTGAACTACTAAAATTTGTCTCTCACTGCTTCTTTTACATGGTGGTTAAGCCACGGTGACTCTTTTTTAGGTCTCTTGCTATGTTTTTTAATTTGGGGTATACATTTAAGTTGGGGCTCTATTATGGTGTCTTTAAAAAGTTTCCATGCAGCTTTCAGGGATTTGGCTCTAGTCACTGTGCCTTTTAATTTCTGTTTAACTAACCTCCTCATTTTTGTGTAATTCCCGTTTTTGAAATTAAATGCCAGGGATATTATGGTCACTATTCCCAAGCGGTCCTGTAACGGTTATTTCCTGGACCTGATCCTGCACTCCACTCAGGACTAAATCGAGAATTGCCTCTCCCCTTGTGGGTTCCTGCACCAGCTGCTCCAAGAAGCAGTCATTTAAGCCATTGAGCAATTAAACATTCCCTAATTAATATTTCACATACAGTATTTTGTATAATAATAACTTTACATATACAAGAGTTGTAGTTACAAAAAATCACAAAAGTTTCTGGGTGGCATTTCTTAAAACATTCTCTCTTGGAGTCCTGAGTTAGTTACTGTTATAGTTACAATGTTTCACTTTACGATTAGGATTAATTGCTTCACAATGCTTTGATGTAACAATGCCCTTAGTCAATTACAGGGCTTGGCTCCCAGAGCAGAGTTAGTGGCTTGACAATGCATTGTTACAATGTATCCCTGCAATGTCAATTTCAAGCAGCCCCTTGCAAAAGCTTGAGGTGCCATGGGACACAGAGAGGGGAGCTGTTTCTGGCTACATAGTATTATATTCTTAACAGTTCTAAGTCACATGACCTAATATTACATTCCTAACAAATTATATTCTAAAGGGGCAATAATAATACATCTAAACATTTGACAATCTTAACAAATAATAATAATAATAATAATAAATCTAAACACTTATATGCTTATGCTACTTAGACTTTAAATTGTGGGGAACAAATTATGGGGAGTCACTTCCACTTGGGGGAATCATTTTTAATACTTTAATATGTTATCCCTACATAAGTAGGCGTGTTAATGTGCAGTCATTCACACAATTAACCGATAAGCATAGGCAGTGCCAGCAGGGTGGGGAGGAGAGGAGGCAGCAGTGCAGGGGGGCAGGCAGGAGCCAGTGCTTGCGGGGTTTAAAAGCTGGCTCCCCATGAACACCGACTCCCATGGAAACACCTGCCCTCTCCCTCCCCCCTGCACTGCTGTCTCTGACGGAGAAGCAGCAGCGCAGGGAGTGAGGAAGGAGCTGGTACACATGGGAAGCCGCATGGGAAGCCAGCTTCCAAGCTGGCTCCCTGCACATATCAGCTGCCTGCCCCACATACTGCTGCTTCTTTATCAGAGGCAGCAGGAGGGGGCAGAAGGGAGCCAGTGCTCACAAGGAGCTATCTTAAAAGCTCCTGCCTCTCTCCCCACCTCCCTGCGTAAACGTGTAACCACTAAAAAAATCCAGTGGTTACACCTTTACACAAATACACATTAGTTAACATCCCTAACGTGAAACACTTACAGCAAGACCTCTGTTCTGTTCTTGACTCTGTCAAGACCTGTTGAGTGACTCTGGGAAAATCGCTTAATCTCTTTTTGCCTTAGTTTCCCAATTTATGATGAAGGTTAATTATGCGAGCATGTCCCTCTCTCCTGCGTAATGCTGAGTGGTTGGGCAGTCCAATAAAATAAAAGAGTTATTGAGAGATAACATCTTACCATTGTATGAAGAGATCCTGAATCAATTCATTTCTCTTGAATAGTCGCCAGATGATTGGCAGATGTCCCAGTATAAAGCTGAAGAAAACAAAACTTTCAGCAGCAGTAGGCTCTTAATAATGGCTTATATTTAATCACATGAACAATGATTCAGATCAAAGGGCTACAAGGTGAGAGGGATGTGGAAGTGTAACCATTTATACAGTTAACTGATGAGCCTGGGTTCATTGGTTTAGGTGCACGGTTACACACAACCCCTCAACTCCACCCTCCCCCCTCTGTGTGAGAGGCAGGGCTACAAGGTGAGAGGGATGTGGAAGTGTAACCATTTATACAGTTAACTGATGAGCCTGGGTTCATTGGTTTAGGTGCACGGTTACACACAACCCCTCAACTCCACCCTGCCACCTCTGTGTGAGAGGCAGCAGCACTGGGGGAAGGCACGAGCCAATGCGTGCAGGCAGCTGTCTCCTAATCTGGCTCCCCACACATATCAGCTCCAGCAGGGCAGCCTGCCCCCGCCCCCACATTGTTGCCTCTGTGTCAGGTGGGCACTGGTTTAAAAGCTGGCTCCCCCACAGGCAGTGGCTCTGGAGAACAGATTGCCCCGCCACGTGTTACTGATGAAACTTGCAGCAGTTACAATTTTACATTAATAAAAACATTTTAACATCCCTACAAGGGAAATAGAATACTCATTAAACTGGCTAACACCTACTGTCCACAATAATGATACCTTTGCTTATCTTGGTATGTACTAGCATGAGACACTTATCCAAAAGAATGTCAGTTTGGAAAGACATCTATTTTTCCATGTTTTCCTTTATTTTTTGTATGTGAAATAAACCTTTGACGGGATAAGCAAAGATGTAAGCCATACAAGTGAGAAAAATGGCACAAACCCCTAATGCAAGCACTGCCTTCATGGCCTATTCAGCAGAATGCCATTTTGATCTAACTACAAGCAGGATTATAACTGGACTACCCCTAATATTAATTTGTAGATTCTGAAAGGGCAGACATGATCATAATTGTAGTTACACAACCAAACTTGATATCCTTGCATGCCTGCTTATGCAACAGAATGCTATTACTGCCTCTGCTCACATGCTAGTACATGCCCAATTTACTACTGTACATAGTCCCAAAGGTAAGGTTAAATAAACAACCTCAATACCACTACATGGGTTGTTTCTCCTTGTGATAGCAATGTCACTTTGGAGTTACAGGCCTTTTTACTACTGTTCATATCTGTTGACACTTGTTGGGTTTTTTCTGTTTTTGTTTCTGTTGTTGTCGTCACTTTGGAGTTACAGGCCTTTTTACTATTGTTCATATCTGTTGATACTTGTTGGGTTTTTTCTGGTTTTGTTTTTTGTTGTTGTTGTTATCGTTGGTTTGGGGTTTGTTTGTTTGTTTGTTTTGCCAAACCAGAACCTGCACAGCAATGAAGGAAAATGCTGCAACAGGTGAAACTATTGTCATCTGATATGATCCAAACATTTCTGATATGGCCAAAGGCACCGAAGAGGGCAAATTTGTTGTCAATCAGGGTCAGTTTAAAGGCAGCGTATTGATGGAAACAGATTTTAAAACATAACTGGCACAGTAGCCCTGAGATAAGAACAAGGAGCCAGAAGTTGAATACCCAAAGTGGTCCCTTAGCTAGTGTTTGATGTTTAGGACAATGGTAAGAATGTTTCTGGTACACAGAGGAATAAGAATAGGCTGATGGTGGAAACCAAGAGACC